GGCCAAAACCGCGAAAAAATCGAGAAAAGTCGATAAAAAGGAAAAAAATAAGACAACAATTTTGCGAAAATATTTATTGTTGGGTTACGGTAGCACTCGTTTGCCGGCTGTGTTTTCGAAAATTCTCCTTGAAATACGGTGACCTAACTTGTGTGAAAATTCGGCCACAACTCCAATTTTTTGCACAAGAATAATACCAGAAAAGTGGCGGAAATCGACTGAAAAAATATTTTTTAAAAATGAACGGAAAAAAACAGTGAAAATCAGATATTTTTACTCGAAAGTGTCGAAATTCGAACGAAAAAGACATTTCTGACTAAAATTAAAGGTGTGCGGTGAAAAATTGTATGGCTTTATTTTGTGCAGAAATCCATGTAGAATCCCAAAAAAAATAAAGAAAAAATTCAAAAAATTCCTTCATTGAGAAAAAACGGCATCGAAAAGTCAAAGTTGTATCTGGTGGCCCAGCGGCCAGGTGGGAGNTTTCTANGNCAACTGCTCGCGAAATTTGAATTTTTTCGCGCTTTTACCGGCAGTTGGCCTAGAAAACTCACACCTGGCCACTAGGCCACCGGTTCCCACTTTGACGCTTCGATGCCGTTTTCCTCAATGAAGGAATTTTTTTGAATTTTTTCTTTATTTTTATGTGAATCTACATGGATTTCTGCACAAAATAAAGCCATAAAATTTTTCACCGCAAACCACCTTTAACTAGAAAACGACCGAAAATCAAATTTCTTCACATGAAAAAGATTCTGAAAATCTGCTAAAAATTAGAAAAAAATTTCAGAATTGACTAAAAAAGCAACAAGAAATCCCAAGTGTTTTGACCTCAAAAGTTTCAGAATTCGGCCGAAATTTAGCGAATTTCCTGCCCAAATATATCAAATATTCAGCGACATTTCTGCAAAAATGAACTAAAAATGATTTGATTCGACATTCCGATTAGCGCCTAAAAATAGCAAAAAATCACAAAATTCGAAGTTTTCACAAAAAACTGAAAAAAGTACATTTCCATCAAAATTTCTTTAAAATGTCAGAGTCTGAAAATCACTGTTTTAGTGAAAGTTTTCCTTGATTTTTGAGAGCTAAAATGCTCATTTTCTTCAAAATTTATCCATAAAAATTGTTACTCAACAACCCAAATTTTCGATTTTTGCACGTTTTCTCTCCCCATTGTGCACCCGTTTTCCCTCTCTATCTCTTCCAATTTTCCCTCTCTTTCGAACGAAACAAAAAAAAAAGAAACCAATAAATCATAATCGTTCTTTGAAATCTCTTCTTGTCTCTCCTCGAAATGTTTATGATCGTTTTCTCTTGAGTGATTAGTAGTTGAATTATTTGTCATGTGACCCATTCTCTTCAGGGGAAGAGGACAACAAAAAGAAATTGATGTCATTTTGAAAGAAGAAAACAGAAGAACAGTTCAGGGGTGCGACGAAAAATAAACAAACACATTGGTACCAGGAATGAGCAGTGACTTGAAAGCATCGATATTTTCGAAATGATTCACATCGGAATACTGTATCTTGTCTATGAACGAAGTTAGATTGGCTTCTAATCTTGTTCACAGACAAGATACAGTAATCCAAATATTATCATTTTGTAGCTCTTGAATTCTTCTATCATATCCACTTTAGTTCTGCGAAAAATTCCGAGACCAGGGTCCGTTTTAGGACCGTTTCTCTTGCTTAAAAATTATCAGTGAATCATTCTGAAATTGATAACTAAAAATCGGTCATGGGTGCATACTTTTGTTTTTCCTCTTCTTTTTTTTGAGTCCTATTTTTCTGGGTGGGGGATTCCCTCAAATTTCTTCAAAAGACACAAACAAAGAAATCAAAATTAAATAGATGTCCCAACAGGTCTAAAGAACACATTTCTCTTGTGACACATCAGCTTGATCTGTTTACCAATCGGAAGGATCCCTGAGGGTTCACGTGCACGCCACATGGTCTCTTCTGACCCAGAAATTAAAAAAAAGAGAAAGAAAAACAAAGTATGATCAGAAATATTGAGAGGGAGAGAAGTTTCAGACACTAATTCGCACTACCGTAAATCCTATAATAGAAGGACCCCTAAGTTTTAGCTTTGAGCCAATTTATCTCGGTTCCTGAGTTTAAAAAAAATTGGTCAACTGATAAATTGTTTATCATAATATCCTACACATTTTATCGGTTGACACAATTTTGATAATTCTTATAGGAGCTGAGATGATTGAGCTCAAACTTGACAGTATAAGGGCCCTTCTATTACAGGTTTTACGGTAAATTGATTTCGATTTTTGAAAATCACGCTTAAGAAAATTGAAGTCTTGAAGGAGAGGGATCAGGGAAAATACGTTTTTTTTTAAACAACTACCATAACCCCGTCATCTCATGAGCAATCGAAAAATGGACTCCATTTTTGGGTTTAGCAAATCAAGAGCATCAAAATTAGCCTAAACACGGCGTACTTTAGAGAAAAACTACAGTAACCCGACTGGTTTTAGAGATAAACTGGTGAAAATGGAATTTTTGAATTCAGAAAGTAGTGTGCTTCAAGATAAGTCTAAACGGAACCCATTTTGGTTGAATTTGAAATGTTATTATTTAAAAAAATAACATGCGCTTTTAAATCCCTAAAAGTTTATATTTTTGTCAAAAATTACGATCTGCCTCGAAAATTTACACTTCTAAAGAAAAACAAAAACAAAAAAAATTGACCCCAAAAACACTAAAACACAACATGTATCTAGTTTTCTCTTTCTTCTAATCAGAATCTAACTTTTCAGATGTTCGTGTCTAACAATTCGATGTTCATCGTCTTCATCGTCTTCTGGTGGTAATGATAACGGAGGAGACGGTGGCAATAACGGAAACAATGGGGGAGGCGGAGACTTGACGAACGCGCCGCCCAACAAGGCGATTCAATCATTCGGACAGTGTCGACACTGCTCGAAACCGCTAAAGCCGTTGCCGACGCTAACGCGTGAGTTCTTTTTTTGGGACTGGGATTTTAGATTTGGCTTCGGGAGGTTTCAGAACCCGACGCTTGGGAACCACGAATTCGAATGCATTCGAATGCAGAAAACTTTTGAAACGTCGTGGTTCCGAAACGTCGGGTTCTAAAAGCTCCCGGAGCCTTAGATTTGGATTTCTCAGGTTTTAGGACCTTCCTAGTTCGGGCCGGAAAAGGAAGGACACTGATCTTTATTATATATTAAAAACTTTTTTTTTGGTTGTAAGAAAATAAAAAGAATAGGAAAATCATTGTCTTGATTTTAGATTCTTTGATTCTTAGAATTTCGGATTTTGGATCACCGATTTTTTTGGGATCGATCGAATTTTCAGCATTTTGAAATACTAAAAATGCCTCAAACTTCAGGATTTTTGAATTTTTAGATGTTGGTATTCTGAACGAGTTGTTGACTTTGGAATCTTTTAAGATTTTTAAGCTCGAATCTTTGAATCTTTGATCTTTCTGATTCTTGGGTTTTTAGACTTCCAGAGCCCACTATACAACCTATGAACCATAGGATGTCTGACCCCACTGTTTACCATGACCCCATAAACATTGTTCTGTGTCATTTGTGACCGTTGAAATGTTTTTGACAAGGTCCTGTCTAGACCATGTAACCTTACACCATCTACCCCTCAATACAAACACCCTTCTTCTTTTTGCAGCCTCAAATCGATATATCCACTGTGACAATTGCAATAAGCTCTACTTTGCCAACTATTTCGAGGACGCCAAAAACATGTTCTCCAAACAGTTCATTCGAAAAACGCCACCATATCCGACACAAATCGCCGAATACCTGGACAAGTTCGTCGTTGGACAGAAGAAGGCAAAGAAGACGTTGGCTGTCGGCGTCTATCAACATTATCGACGTCTCGAGCATAATATCGAGTCGGGAGCATCGTCGATTTATCAGACGCACGCGCAGACGCAGACGGCTTCTGGAGCAGGAAAATCAGATGGTGGAGATTCAAAAATGCCACGTGGCGTTTTCTATCAGGATGAGATGCGATTGGGACAAATGGCGAGCAGCGAGTTGAGGAATTCGTTGATGCAGCAGCAGGTTGGGAAATTGGGAATATTTGAAATTGGGGGGGGGGGGGGAACGGTGACTACAGTAATCCAATACTCGGCTACTTTGTAAAATACGAAAAAATTTAACTACAGTAACCCAATTGGGCCTGTATATCAAAGCAGACAATGAGCATGGTGGCCGTGAAAAAGCTAGGCCGTATTTCCTGAATTTTTGAAATTTTCTGAAGTACTATAATCCTTTCGCGCTTTTTTTTTCAATTTCCCATCGATTTTCGTCATCAAAAATCATCGAAAATTGGGCGAAAAATGGCAAAAACGTTCTTTCGAAGTACAGTAACCCAAACACAAAAAAGGCTCGCTTTTCCCATCGGTCTGTATTATTTTGATTTGAAAGGTTTACGATTTTGAGTCCATTCACAACATATCTACAGTATCCCAATAGCCTGCACATCAAACTCAAATGCAATTGTTTCAGAGTAACAATCAACCTCCATCAACGTCCACCCATATGCATCACCAGCATCAAAGCCAACAACAATCCTCACGAAATGCGCCGCCCACTTTTCGATCACTTCCAGAAAAAGAGCAAGCCGTTCGTCTGGAAAAATCCAACATTCTCCTAGTCGGACCCTCTGGAGTCGGCAAAACGTTCCTGACCCAGACGCTAGCCAGAGTGCTCGATGTCCCAATTGCCCTGTGTGATTGCACATCGATGACACAAGCCGGATACGTTGGAGAAGACGTGGAGAGTGTGATTCAGAAGTTAGTCCAAGCGGCAGGAGGAAATGTGGAAAAGGCTCAGCAAGGAATTGTGTTTCTCGATGAAGTGGACAAGATTGCAGCGGCAAATGAAGGACACTCTGCCGCATATCGAGATGTGTCTGGAGAAGGTGTACAACACGCGCTCCTGAAGCTGGTTGAGGGTACTGTAGTGAATGTGAAATCGGGAAAGAAGGGAATGGGATCACAACAGGATCAGGTGCAAATTGATACCTCGGATATTCTATTCATTGCGTCTGGAGCATTCAGTAATTTGGATAAAATCGTTGGACGACGTCTGGACAAGAAGGCGTTGGGATTCGGAACGGCTTCAGGGAACGTCAGAATCTCGACGGACGACTCGAACTCGGAAATTATGAGAAAACGAGATGAGCTGCTGGGAAAAGCGGATCAAGGGGATTTGATTAGTTTTGGAATGGTACCCGAGTTGGTTGGTAGATTCCCCGTGCTCGTGCCCTTCCATTCGTTTGATAAGCAGGTAAGGCTCTCACCGTGAGGAGCATGGTGGCCTAGAAAAAGCAAGGCCATATTTTTCAAAATCTGAATTATTTTTTTTTTCAAAAAATAAAGAGAGTTTGGAAAATTGCAAAAACTCTGAAAATTCAAAAATCTATAATTTTTTCGAAAATTTAGTTTTGAATTTCAAATATTACTGTAATATTTGAAAATCGAAAAAAGAAACCAATTCTGAATCTTGCCTATTTTCCAGATGCTCGTCCGCGTGATGACGGAACCTCAGAATTCGCTGCTCGCCCAACTTAAACTTCAATTCGGCATCGACAACGTGGATCTGTCATTCTCTGCCGAAGCGCTGGAACAAGTTGCTCAGCTGGCTTTGGAGAGAAAAACCGGAGCCCGTGCTCTTCGTTCGATTCTGGAGGCGGCGCTTTTAGAAGCGAAGTTTACAGTGCCTGGATCCGATATTGAATCCGTACATGTTAGCAGGTGAGAAATTTCTAAATTGTGAAAATTCAAAAATTCTGAAAATTAAAAAAAATCGAAATTCCATAAATTTTTCAATTTTTCTCATACATGCGACCGGGCCTTTGCCGGGCTCTTCGCGGGCCTTGCCAGAGTGTCTTTCAAAAACATTATTTTCAGATCAATCAAGTTAGATATGATAAAGCTCGGCGAGTTCCACAAAATGATACTATTTGAAGAACTGTGTCTTGTCTATGAACAAAGTTACAAGTCTTAAAGTGCCCGGGCCTTGCCGCGTCGGCCCGAACCTCTGTTTTTTGTCTGTAACTTTAACCATAGACAAGACACCGTTCTCCAAATGACATCATTTTGTAGCACTCGTTGAGTTCTATCATTACTATTCAGTTGGTCTAAAAACATTAGTTCCAAAAGACACTATGACAGATCCCGCGAAGGCCCGGCAAAGGCCCGGTCGCAAGTATGATGTTTTTTTTAAAAATTTATTTCAAATTTCCAGAGAAGCAATTATCGGAGAAAAAGAAGTCGAATACTCGCGCCGAAAGCCACAAGTCGCCGAGGAAGAGGAATCGTCGACGCCCATCAAAAAATCAGCAGTCGCATAATTTGTCTCTATTTCTCCCCCTTCCCTCCGATTTCTCGAAAAAATTCTAATCATTTTTTATTCCTATGGGTTCCTCTTTTCTTCTTTTTTAAATTGAAGCGATTCTTCCGTTTTTCTGTACACACCTCCTCTCGCCGAATCTCTCAGCGGTTTCTTTTTCCTTTACTTTTTCAACTTTTCTTTGCTTTTTTTTTGGTATTACTGTAGGTTTTTTCTTTAGCTCCCTTTTTTGATTTTTTATGATGGTTAGTGTTGTTGGCATTGTGCCAGCATCTGGCCATTAGTCTCTTATACACTCGAAAACTTCTTATGTACATATGATGGTATTTTTTTGAATAATATCTGAAATGATGGATTCTTTAAGATCGAAAAAAACAGAATCTAATTTCATCTAGTTGAAAATGACCGAAAAATTGAATTTCAAAGAGAAGGTACAGTAGTTTTTGGATTTCAAAACTATGTATAATAATATTAAAAATTCGGAAAAGTCAAGATTCTCAGAATCCGGATTTTCAGGTTCCTTGGAAACCCGAAGTGTAGGATTGTAAAATTGTCAGATTAACGTTTTTTTTTAATTTACAAAAAATCGGAATTCGCAAAAATCCAGAAGTCTAGATTTAGAATTCAAAAGATTTAGAGTTTTGAATTTTCACATTTTCCCGAATTTGAAAAATTTTCGGGATCAATTTTTTGTTTTTTTTGTTGTGAAAAATCAATTAGAAAAAGTTACAGTAATCTATGGGATTCAAAAACTACAGTTTTTCAAAGATTACTGTAGATTTCGAGTTGTTGAAAATAGGCGTTTTTCAGTGAAAAATTACACCAAAATCGCCAGTTTTTCTGATGAAAAATGAGATTTAAAAACCGTAAAAATCGGAATTTTCAGCAAAAAAATTCCCATTTTCAGCCAAAATTCACCAAAAGCGAAATTTTCCAATTTTTCAAAATATTCAACTAAAAATTCACAAAAAAAAAAAATAATTTTTACTAAAAACTATATATTTTTTCAGTTTTAATTCCCAAAAATGATCTAAAAGCCCAAAATTTTTCCAGATTTCCTGCTATCGACAAATCATGTCAATTCAAAGTTAAGTGCAATTTTTTTCTAGGATTACCGTAATCTTGAAAAATTTTTGAAAACTTTATAAACGAAACAAATGTTTGAGTCACATCTTTGAATATTACTGTAGTTTTCGAATTTCAAAGATTACTGAAGGTTTTTTTTTTAATTTGAAAGATTATTGAAGTTTTTGAATTTCAGATTGCTGAATTTCTTGAATTTCCAACATTACTGTACTTTTTGAATTTCAAAGGTTACTGTAGTTTTTAGAATTTTCAAATTCATTAAAAAAAACAAAAAAAATGATTTGATAATAATTTATTATTATGACTATTATAATAGGATGTAATATGTTTTGACACAGAAATTCATAGAAAATTTCTTTAAAAATGAAAATTTTACACGTGTGATCAATACCACGCGGGGGGATCTGGGGAAGGGAAAAATTGGGGTCAAGAAATGGAAAAAAATTTAGAAGTCTAGTTTTTTCAAAAAAATAAAAAATAATGAAAGTGGAAGAAAATTCTAACAGGCACATGGTAAAACAATGAAAATGGAAGGCACTTTTGAAGAAGAAAAAATCATGAAACTGAAAAAAAACTTTGAAATGCATGTACAACAAAAGATAAGGATTAGATACTATTATTACAGAGAATCAGAGAAATTTTCGGGGGAAAAGAGCGGGAAATCAAAATTTTTAGACGTCGGAAACTTCAGAATCCGGATCGTACAGGGGATTGTCGACACGAAGTGTCTCCTCTTTTTTCTCCTTTTTGTTGGGTCGGGCCGGAATTGGAGGTTTCGAGATTTCCACTTTTGGAACTGAAAATTTTTTGGCTTTCAGAAAAAACACTTTTAAATTGAATCACAGAATCTCAGAAACTCAGATTTTCCAAAATTCAAAAAGTCTGGAACACAGAAATTCGGAAATTTAGAATATCTCGATTTCAGAATCTAAGAATCATAAGATTTGTTTTAAATTTCAAAACTTCTGGATTTTAAAAATTTCAAGATTTAAAAAATTCAATGTTCAGAAATCCAAAATCTCAAGATCCAATAATCTGGGAACCTGAAAATCCTAAGTATCCTGGAATCCTTAAAATCGAAGAATCTCAGAATTCCAGAACATGAGAACTTTTTTAAAAACTTCGGACTTTTGAAAACGATTTTTGGAGTTTTTGGGATTTTTTGAGATTTTTGTAGATTTTCGAATTTTCGAAAAGTTTTGTTTTTTTGGAATTTGATTATTAGAATCTAAGAATCTCAGAATATTAGATAAACAGTTTTCAGAATTTTTTTTGGATTTCAAAATTTCGGAATTTCAGATTCTTCAAAACGATTTTTTTGGAATTTTAGAATTTCAGAATTTCAGAATCCTAAAAATCCTAAAACCTAAAACGTACCAATAACTTGATCCGATGTCTTCACTTCAATCTCATCTTGGTTGAATGTAGGTGGTACAAAAGAAGAAGAAGCAGAAGACGTAGATGGTCCATTTGGTGACATGGCTGATGACGTGGATGGTCGATTATCAGATCTTGGAGATGACATATCGACGTCTTCTAGATCGTATACTGGATTTGTGAAGGTTGTCGAATCATCGTGCATCGATGTCATTTGTTGCATACTAAACTCGCTTCCGGGGGCATCCTGAAAAAATTTCAATTCAAAAATTCGGGCTCCCCGGATCTAAGGAACTTTGGAGTACTGAGAAAATAACTTTTTTTTACAAATCCATCCTAATGAGATATGTCGCTTCAAACCGCACTTACAAGTTGTTAGTTGGTTACACGCGGTATATCTCATTGGAGCGCATTTGCACAAAAAAGTTGCCAATTACAAACTTGAAGCTCTAGTTTTATTCAGAACACTCTGCAATTTTCAGACAAATCGAAGAATTCTGAAGTACTTTTGTAGGGGTCTGAATTTGACTATGTTATCTATTTCACCTATTTTGGCTTAAAATCTCCATGTTTAAAGCTTTCAAAAATAGTGTCAGAATTTTTTGATTCATCTGATAATTTTCAGGTGTACTAAACAAAAATAGAGCGCCATTTTTGTAATTGACAACTTTTTGCTGCAAACGCGCCCTAATGATATAAAGCACACTAGGTTAGTTTAAAGCGGTACCAGCCACTTGGCTGGTTTGAAACGGTATATCTCTTCAGGACCAAATTTAACTAAAAAGTTGTCATTTACAAAATTAAAGCTCTAGTGTTGTTTAGTATACTCTGAAATTTTCAAAAAACTGAAAAATTCTGAAACATTCTTGTAGGGACCTGAACTTGACTATTTTTCCCATTAACTAACCTGTTTCGACTCCAACACTGGATTACTAAACGAAATGACATTTCCATGGAACGACACACTTCCATCAGCTGCCTCATTCTTTTTGAATAACAGCTGTCGTCGCTTATAAACATTTAATCCAATGAATCCAATCAATCCGAATGCAGCCAAGAATGCCAAAATGTATAATAGAACGGTGAAGAAGTTCTCAGAAAGTGTTCCAATGATTCGTCGGCTAACACTACTTTCCTTATCGCACAAGTCTCCTTCAAAGTCCGATGTACACTCACAGGATCCATCCAAACGACACTTTCCTCCATTTGTGCATTTACACTGCTTAGGCATCGTGAGTGCTTCGACATGTTGAGTTGCACATGATCCATCCATTTGCGGGACGATTCCTTCTGGGCAGAGACAAGCGAATCCACTAGATGGCAGGGTTACGCAGAGATGAGAGCATTGAGCACGCTCACATCCAGATACCACTCGTTGTGTGTCCTTTGCATATTTCTGACTGACTCTTACAGTATGCCCATCTTCAAGATCCGACGCCAACACTGACACTCTTCCTCTTCCGAACTTATCCTGAACGTAGAGCGTCTTTGATTCTCTGCTCAGCCAGTAAATGTGATTTTCGAAGACGTCAACTGCATAAGGAATGTGCTTGTCGTGAACTACAGTAGTCCTATCAGTTCCATCAATGTTCACTGCGTCAACTCTTCGATACTTGGGATCCACCCAATAGATTCTGTTGTTCTTTCCTTCGTCGATAGCCATCGAGGTTGGGGAGAATACAAGATCCTTGACAATAATCTGCCGATGGGTTCCATCCATATCAGCACACTCAATCTTTGCATGGAGACCTGCATCCGAGTAGCAGATACGACCTGCTGATGGTGCTGTGATCAGAGCAGTTGGCTGTTGAAGATGTCCAGCGACGATCTTTTTCACGTATCTCCCATCCGGAAGTGCCAAAAAGATGAATCCAGTGTTCTGATTGTCAATTGGTTCCGACATTCTTTTCTTTCTCGCCGTCACCAAACCATTCTCCACGTCTTCAGATACAGCAGCCACGAAGAGGTTGCCAGTGGTGTAGTCGACAGCAATGGCGGTTGGAACTACTCCCATTCCTGCGAAATCAATATCAAGTTTTTGTCCTTCATGACTCTGATTTCCATTGGAAATTGCACTACGGTAGATTGTCCTTTCACTTCCATCAATCCAATACATCAACTCTTTTCTTGGATCAAATGCAATTCCAATGATATCGCTATCCTCATCATTGGCCTTTGCGGCAGCGTGACGATTGGTTCCAGTACCATGAAGTGACAGTTGTACAAGAGAAGAATCCGCTCCGATCATGACGTTCGCAGCATCTCCCTTCGCTCGACAATCCTTTCCAGTCATTGATCCAACGACTACATTATTCTCGTAATCCTCGTGACATCTGCATAGATAGGATCCTTTGGTGTTGAGGCAGAGTTGGGTGCAAGTGTTGTTTCCAGCACATTCATCGATGTCGATACATTCCTTAGGACTTTGTGGATCGGGACGGAAGCCATCTCGGCAGTGACAGTAGAATCCATCGCGAACATCTGTGCAGATTTGTTTGCAGCCCCCGTTGTTCCCGAATGCTTCGCAGGAAGTCTTGCCTCCGTGTTTGGCTGAAAAGATAATATGAAAATCTGGTTTGAAATTTTTAGATTGATCAGATTCGGGAGCAAGTGATGAGGGAAATCGGAATGACCTTTTCGCACTTTCAGAATTTCGGAATGTTCAGATTTTGTTAAACTTCAGAATATTCTGAAATTATGAATTTTTTATAATCGGAATATTCTAAAGTTTCATTTTTTTAGAATCAGAATATTCTGAAATTCCGAAATTCGTAATGTTTCGAACTCGCGATTTCAACTCTGAATTCCAAACTTAAAAAAATTGGAATGTTTCGAAATTGTCCAAAATTTTGGGAAGTTTGAAAAAACTTACAACATCCGATCTCATCCGACGCATCACCACAATCATCCTTCCTATCACAAGCCAACGTGGCATTCACACATTTTCCATTGGAACACTTGAACTGATCCGATGCACAATCCGATCCTTCCGAGAAGCTAGAGCACATTGACAAATGCTCATCTGAGAAGTCATTTGGTCCACAATCGGGCATTCCATTGCACAGTTGAAGGATGTTCAAGCAGAGACGAGAGTGAGCACAGCGGAAACGAAGTGGAGGATCGCATTGAGCCATTCGGCATTCGGTGGATGTCTCGTCAGAGTTGTCTCCGCAGTCGTTGTCACCGTCGCACATGAATTTGCGTGGGATGCAGACGGAGTTGGCACATTCGAATTCGAAAGGAGAGCATGTTCGGCGAGACTGAAAGTTAATTTTTGAAGATACATTTTCTAGAATTTCTGACTTACCACATCTTCACAATGCAATTCATCAGCTGCATTCGGACAGTCCTTCTTTCTATCACACCACTTATGCTCAGCAATACAAGTACCATCATCGCACTGTCTATGACCAGCCGTACATCTTCGAAGGGTACATTGAGATTCATCGAGTCCATCGCTACACTGAATGGTTCCATCGCAAACCTTGCTTCCTGGAATACACTTCCCATCGTTACATCTGAACTCAGATTCGGAGCATGGGCGAGTAGTTCCACCACAGGAGGCGTCCAGCTCGTCTGAATTGTCTCCACAATCATTCTCGGTATCACACATCCAACGTTTCGGAATACATTTTCCAGTCGTGGCGCATCGGAACTCTCCAACATCGTCGCAAGTTGGACAGCGTTGTTTGTCTTCGTCAGAATTGTCTCTGCAATCGTCTTGACCATTACAGAATGCCCAGTTGGGGATGCATCTGTAGGAGGATGAGCAGCGAGTCCATCCCTTCTTGCATTCGATTTGAGCGCATTCTGGAGTCTCGTCAGATCCATCTCCACAATCATCATCGTTATCACATCTCCACGCCTTGGCGATGCACTTGTTATTGTTGCATCTGAACTCCTCAGCTGTGCAGTTTCGGTCCGGTGACATACAAAGGGAATCAGCCTCGTCTGATCTATCACCACAATCATCATCTCCATCACAAGTGAATCTCTTTGGAATGCATCTCCCAGTTGCCGCACACTTGAACATCCATGGATCACAAGCCTTGTCACAGTTCTGCTCATCAGTTCCATCTCCACAATCATCATTTCCATCGCAGATTTGGAATGGGCGGGTGCAGTTGTGATTGGTGCACTGGAACTCTCCGACTGGACAAATTCGCTGTCCACAGATGCTCTCTCCAGGCTCATCTGATCCGTCTCTACAATCTGGCTCTCCATCGCAATACCACAGTTTTGGAATGCATTTGGCATCGTCGCCACCGCAGGCAAACTGACGATCCGTGCAGTTTGGTTCACAAGTCTTCTGATCGGGAAGAAGCACGAATTGATCTGGACACGAGCAAGTGTATCCATTTCCGCCAGCTCCAATCAAGCAAAGATGAGAACATCCTCCGTTGTTGTCTCCACATGGGTTGGGGTAGGCTGGCTGTTTCATCGGGTGCACGATTCTCAAGTCATTCGGAAGTTGGACAGTCTTCTTGAGCACAGTCTCGTTCTTTCCAGTCCACTTATCACATCTGACAACTTCTCTCAAATTCCAATCAGCCCAGTACAGGTAGTCGTCGAAGATCACCATGGACGAGACGTGGCTGGTACGTTGAGCTGGTATATGACGTCTTCCGTTTCCATCAAAGTCCATGAATCCGATCTCATTCAGATGAGCATCTCCCCAGAAGAGGCGATCCGAGAAATAGTCGATTGCAATCGCATTAGGCCATCCTAGATCATGTTCTGCCAATTTGAAGATTGGATCTGGAAGCTCTGGAGAACCGTCGAGGGCCATTCTTCCGATGTATGGTTGGAGAGACCATTCTGTGAAGAACAAGTATCCCTTTCCTGGATGGATAGCAATTGCCTTTGGTTGTTGGATTCTGTCTCGAATGAGAGTTTTGCAGAATCTACCGTCAAGTTCACAAACTCGAATTGATCTCTCTTGACGATTAAGCATGTAGAGCTTCCGTCCAACCCAGTCCACAGCGATTCCTTCGGTTCCATAGACATTATGTCTTAGGACAGTTTCATAGCTAGATAGTGGAGAATCCATTTCATCCAAGTTGACTCGCAGAAGTCGGAGCTTTCCTTGATCAATAAGATACGCCTTCTTCTCAGTAAGATCGATATCAAGGGAGACAACATTATCAAATCCTTGTGCAGCCAGTTCGTATTTGTTTCCATCCATAGAGATCTTTCTGATGTAGTGTTTGTTGGCCAGAAGGAAGAATGGTTCTGGTTCCATTTCGACACGTTTACAGCTATGATCGTCGCTAGAAAGTTGGTAGCCGTCCACGCACGCGCATTTGTAGGATCCGATCTTGTCGTCGCATTTCTGACTGCATCCCGAGATTCCTTCTGGAAGAAAAAAAAATTGGTTTGGGATTTAGGGTGTGGAGGGTCTAATATTAACCTGTCACTTTTTCTAGGCCATTTACCATGATGGCCTAGAAAGCTCAATTTGCGAGAGTTAGGCCAACATGTTAAAACTACCTGGTGATTTCAACTACGTCGATTTTTTTTGATTTCTAATCGCTTACCGAAGCACTCATTAACATTGTGACAACTCTTCTGATCGGAAACATCAATGGCGAATCCTTCGAAGCAATCACACTTGTATCCGATCTTCTGATCAATGCATTTCTGCTCGCAAAGTGGTTTCTCAGCAAGAGAGCACTCGTCAATGACTGAAAAATAATTTCATAGAATTTTCCAGAAGCTTTCAGTTTTAGTGCCTCTCCCTCAACTTACAGCAAAGCGAGCTCTCATCCGAACGGTCTCCACAATCAAAGTTTCTATCGCACACCTTCGCATCATCGATACATTCTCCGGAAGTGCATTGGAATTGGCTCTTGGAGCATTTCGACGTCTTCTGTCCTGCTGCTGAATTCTTTGGACAGTCCTTTTCATCTGATCCATCCTCACAATCATCATTTCCATCACATCTCCACGAGTTGGGCACACATTTATGATTGGCACATTGCCAGAAATCTGGCTGGCAGGAGGAATACGTGCAATTGGCGTGCTCATCGGAGCCATCGAGGCAGTCGTTATCTCCATCGCACTCCCAGGACGCGTGAATACAGTGTTGGTTGTTGCATCTGAATTCTCCCTTGTTGCACTCCTTCTTCTCGGTTTTACAAAGATCTGTAGACTCGTCCTCTCCTCCAGCACAGGTGACGTCACCGTCGCAAAGCCAGGCTCTGGGGATACACTCGTATTTTGGTTGAGCTAGTTTTGCATTCGATGCGCAATGGAATTCTTGATCGGTGCAGGTTCGGTTACCGCATCCGTGTCTGGCATGCTCATCGGATCCATCTCCACAATCATCCTCTCCATCGCAAATGAACGCACGGGAGATGCACTTGAGATTGTCGCACTGGAACAAGTAGTCACCGACACAGATCTTCTTACCAGAAGTGTCGGTACAGTTAGTGTGAGTCTCATCCCAGCCATCTGAGCAATCATTGTCTCCATCACACTGCCACGTTTCTGGGATACATCTTCCGGATGGGCAACGGACGTAATGTTGGGCACATTGTTGGTTCATACAGAACAATTGATTTTCGTCAGCCTTATCTCCACAATCATCGTAACCATCACAAAGATCGGCTGGTTGAATGCAAATGTTGGTATTTGGGCATCGAATCTTGACTCCACGACAATCAATCGGAAGATTCGGACACGTGGCACGCGACTCATCGGAGACTTGCTCATCGTGACAATCATTGTGACCATCACAAACCTTCGTCTGGTTGATACAATGACCATTTGAGCAAGGGAATGTTCCTTCCGCACATGAGACGGCTGATGGGCAGTCGAGTTCATCAGATCCATCTCCACAATCGTCAATGTGATTGCACTTTTTGGCTGAGTCAATGCAACGGCGATTGGTACACAGGTGGTAACCATCTGGGCAAGCACGAGTGTTACAGTAGTTTGGATTCTCGTCTGAAGCATCTGGACAATCTGGCTTGGAATCACAAGTGGCTCCCAAAAGAATACATGATCCATCTCCACATTGGAAGTTGTATGGTGGCAGACATTCCTTTGCTGGCTCCGAAGAGCTCCCACGGAGCACACATTGAGTTGGATAGTCCTTTCCAGGCTCTTGTACCAATTCATAAGTATCGTTACACGAGCATTGAACCTTACTGGCTGCCAATCCAACATCGTCGGCGATCACAGAGCACAACTGATCACATCCTCCATTGTCATTCTTGCAAAGTTGAGTGGTTAGGGCATTGCAAACTTGGTTACGAGTTCTGACGTCAGATTCACTAGCGAACACTCGGAGGGCTCCCGGGATTCTTCTATTGCTCACGACGTTCTCCAATCCAGATCCAGATTCCTTATCGATTCTGAAGACTCCATTACTTAATGGATCACTCATGTAGAGCCAACGATCCCAGAGATCAAGGGACTTTGCACGATATCCTGAAGCAATGATCTTTCGGTTCTCTCCATTGTAATCGGCGACTTCGATGTTGAGTCTGTTGACATCTGCCCAGTAGATCATCTGGTTTCTGAAGTCGACGGTGATAGCAGCTGGGAGGGAAATCGACTCGGATACAATGACCTTCCGACTTCCACCTGCCAAGTTGGATCTTTCGATTCTTGGCTCGTAGAGTCCTCCGCTAGTCTTGTATCCGGAATCAGACCAGAAAAGAAGGCCAGAACATGGATCGATAGCAAGAGCGTATGTCCAGTCTCCAGAAGCAATCGTCGACAAGTGTTCACCAGCTGCGTCAATAACCATAACCTTTCCACCTCTTCCAGTTGTGAAATAGATCTTTTGAGTCAACCAATCCAACTTCATATCAGAAATATGGCGAACTTCCTTGGCGTGTGCCTGTTTGCTAGCACCGAATACCAGTCTTGGATTCTCAGCGTTGTTCATCGAGAACCAGGAGATGTTCACTCCAATCGGGGATTCGACTACAAAATACACTCTTCTCAGGTTGACATCCACATCAAAAGTCTGGAGATTTGTGATCTCTGGGAATGGTTCCTTGAGTGGTCGAGATGCCTTCACATCTGGTTCGATTGCGGCGTCGATGATCTTATCTCCATCAGAGAACATGAGATAAGTGTCTGGCTCTTCACAAGTTCTTCCCTTCAACACTCCTCTGGCACATGCACAGATTGGTGTCTGGGTTCCAGGTGTGGCGAAGCACAGTTGAGTACAAGGGCTCTTCCGAAGGTTATCAGTGATCTGGCATGGACTGCTGGCTCTCGGTTGATTGGTTGACGAGAACACTGCCACGTCACCAATATCCTTAAGTGATGCGGCAACGGTAGTTGGAGACAAGAGAAGGGAAGTCTGGTTAGGCTTCGAGGTGGCTCGGAAGAGCTTCTCAAGTCTGTTGTCTGTCCAGTACATGTTCTGTCCGTGAAGAGCCACTCCGGCAGCAGATGCGATATCGGATCGAACAAGTTCTGGCGTTCCACCTGTACTTCTGACACGGAAGATTCCATCCAGTTTGGCATCTGACCAATAGATCATTCTGCTGGCAACATCCACTACTAGATCAGTTGGCTCTCCGATCCCAGAAGAAACAATGACCTCGCGACGGGATCCATCCAAGAATGCTCGTTGAATGCTTGGTTTCTGTCCTTGATCTGCCCAATACAAATATCTTGCAACTGGATCCACAGCGATAGAAGATGGAGTCTCTGTCTTGGTGGTTAACAAAATCTTGCGATAGGTTCCATCTAGTTTGGAGACCTCGATGTTGGTTCGTTCAGCGTCGTGGTTGATGAAGTACATGTTGTAATTGATCCAGTCAATAGCCAAACTCTTGATTGTCAATGATCCGATCGAGTCACGAATCACTGCTCTTGGTGCAGACTCTCCGATGGTATAGGCGGTGATTCCCTTGTTGATTCCAGAAGCTTCGGCCACGTAGATGGTCTTTGATTCGAAATCATAATCAACTCCAGTGATGGATAGACCTCCGATTGGTTCCATAGCAACACCCTTGGATTGGGACTCATCGATTGGGTATCCGGTCACCTTTGTCTTGGTAGCAACAATGACAAATGATTCATCGAAGAGTTTACAAGATGTCTGACCATCCTTTGTGAATCCGTTCGCACATGAGCAAGCGTGTTGAGCGAACATTTGTGGGATGCAGATATGATCACAGTTTCCGTTATTGATATGACATGGATGGCTGCTAGAAGACGCTCTTGGTTGGAGCACCTTGATGTTGGCAAGATTCTCAACATCCTTTTTGAAATGGGTCCAAGATGGTGGTTGGGAGTCTCCGAGGATTGTAGCGACTTCGATGGAATCGAAAGCAGAGTCGGCGTAGAATAGGCGATCTCCGTGGAAAGCGAGTCCATTTGGTTGGCGGCCGCCGTCGCTGAGAACGTAGTGACGGTCTTGACCATCGTAGGTAACAGAGGAGATCTGAAAGACAAATTTTTGTTTTCAAAATTGTATAATAGAAGCCGAGAAGAAACGTTAAAACTCTTAACTTTGAGCTCAATTATCTCGGTTGCTGTAAAAGATATCACAAATTTGTTAACTGATAAAATGTGATTCGCAAAACCACCAAAATTTTATCAGTTGACAAAATTTCGATGTCTCTTATAGGAAACGAAATAATCGAGCTCAATGTACAGTAACTCTTTTTTTTCAATTTTTTCAACAACATCTCACCCTTCCAGCCTTGGCTTCCGAGAAGTAGACTCTCTGATTGGTAGTATCCAATGCAATATGATCCAACTCTGCCAAATCATTGCTAGCAATCACCAACGGGTTGCTTCCATCCAATCCAGCTCGTGCGACCTTTGCATCCGAAGCACCGCCTCCTCGATCCAGCCAGAAAACGTATCCCTTATCAGCATCAACAGCAATCGAGACAGGTGTCACCACTGCAGTTGGCGATTGATCGTTGGAAAGAATCACGGATCGATATTGTTTTCCTTGAGTTCGGATCAATTCGATGGTTTGAGTGACCTTGTTTCCGACGACCAAGTTTCGTCCGTTCCAATCGAATCCAAGACAATAAGCATCATCCGGAACCGCCGATGAGAACATTTTTGTCTTATTTCCACCGTTCACAGTACTACGGTAGATAGCCGAGTCCGTTGTGATTTGAGCTAGAGTCTTGGCGTGGTTGGTGTGCTCCAAAATGAACATCTCTTCGCTGAGAGCGTCATAGGCGGCGTCGAAGGCGTTTCCAAGACCGGAAAGTGGGACCATGCCAGCAAGATCTGGGGTTCCGGTTGGGCTTCTTCTAGTCCATGTCGACTCGGAAGACGAATCCATCTCTACTCCGAAGACGTTAGTTTTCTGGATGATGACAAGGAATGGCTTAGCATCGTCGACACACTTCTTTCCAGATCCATCCAATTTTTCTCCCATTGGACATTTGCAAGTGAAGGTCTGAAGAATCAAAAAATTGTAAATTTTCAGAACAAAAAAAAAACAAAACCCACATTCTTATTATTCAACAAACACAAATGACTACATGGGTTGTTGGAGCACGGATTGTTCTTGATCACTGGTTGAAGTGCTGGATGGACAGCGACCACTCCCAAAGCCTTACTGAATGTATGACTTGGATACTCTCCGGTGGTCCCATTTGGATACTTTGGATACACTTGCAACTTCTGAAGTCTTCGATCTGAGTAGTACATCATGTCCTCAAAGATTGCCAACGCGTGTGGATGCTGAACGAATTTTGAGGAGGCGAGAACTTGAGTTCTTCCTGTTCCATCGTAGTTGACAAAATCGATAAAGTCAAGTTTGGAATCCGCAAAGTAGACTCGGTTGGTAGTCAAGTCTAGAGCAATAGTGTTAGGCCAGTAGATCTTGGTTTTGACAATGATCTGACGATCCGATCCATCCATAGAAGCTCTCTCGATGCATGGATTCTGTCCCCAATCTGTCCAGAACATGACTCCTTTCCGTGGATCAACAGCGATACCACGTGGCTGACTGATGTTCTGATGGACCAGCAGTGTTCTCTGTTTTGGATCTTCCAAGTTGGCAACCTCGATTGTGTTGAGGGAGGAGTCAACCCAGTACAGATTTCTTCCAACCCAATCCAACGCGATTCCTTCAGTGATATCCAAACCATCAGAAATGAAAACAGTTGCATTCGTTCCATTTCGATTGGCAGATAGAATCTTTTTCTCTCGGATATCTGACCAATAGATTCGATCCGTAAGACTATCCCAAGCAAGAGCAATCGCATTCTCCACCACTGCTCCAAAAGTGTGCCAATTGTCAAGCTTATGGTCACTATAGTAGATACGATTCCGGTTTGAAACGTAGATTCGAGTATCTTTGACATTGTCCTGAACCTTGCAAGTTCTCTTGTTGGCATCCAGTTCGTATCCTTCTTCACAGGAGCAGGTGAATCCGTGCTTCTCATCTTTGCAGTGTTGGGAGCAGCTGCTAGCATCGAGACACTCGTTTTCAGGTTCGCATTTGGTTTTGTTGACGAGCTGAAAAAGAAATTTCAAAAACTGACACTTCAGATCATTCAGATCTTCAGAAAACTAACCTGTTCTCCTTGCGGACAACTGCAAATCGGACCATTCGGACTGTTATGGCACTTGAATGCGCATCCGGCTCGGTCTGCGGAGCACAAGTCTCTTCCACACCGTCCTCCTTCGTCAGTTCCACCTGGACAATGTCTCTTTCCATCACAGAGTTGGTGTAGAGGGATGCACGTTTCTGGATCATTCTCGCAGGGGACATGTTCGAATGGACACTTCCTTGTGTTCATTGGAGACTTGCATCCACGTTCGGCAGACTCGTCGGAGCCATCGCCGCAGTCGTTTTCGCCGTCGCACAGCCAGTTCTAAAAAAGAGAAGATTGAAATAGGTCTGGTTTTTTGGACAGTTTGAGATCCAAAAATTGAAACTTGATTTTTGAAAATTTAGAATTAGATTTAATTTAGAGTTGATTTAAAATTCAGAGTTGCTTTAGAATTAAAATTTAGAATTGTTAGAATTAGAGCTTCAATAAAAAGGAGAAGCTAGGATTCGTATTTTTAACCTTGCCCTTTTTATCTCGCTCCCTGTGAAAGGTATCAAAAAGTAGTAAACTAACTAAATACTTCTGAATTTATGATAAACATTTTGTCAGTTGGCCACTTTTTGATATTTTTGAAAATAAATAAGATAACTTGAGTCAAAGCTAGAGGTTTTTTTTTGTCACAGGGTATCCAGAAAGCAGAGCCTTACATGTGACGTTTTAAGGTTGTTTTAAAATTCGAAAACTTTTTTGATTTTTCAAGAACTCACATTCAGAATACATCTTCCATTTCCGCACTTGAACTGATCGGCTTTGCACTCTCTTCCCCTAGTACATCCGAATCTTGGCTCATCGGACTCATCATCACAATCCACTTGCCCATCACACTTCCACGACGCCGGAATGCATAATCCAGAAGACACACATTGGAATTGGTCCGATGTACAGGTTTCAGAGGAGACTGCACACGAGTCTTCGTCAGAGCCATCTTCACAATCGTTCTGTCCATCGCAATGATTTCTCAAAGGAACACACTGACGACCATTGGCGCATCTGAACTGAAGAGCCGAGCATTGAACTGGTGGACAGCGTTCTTTATCTTCATCAGTTCCATCGTAACAATCATTATCTCCATCACAAAGCCAATAGATTGGAATACATCTTCCATTGGCGCAGGAGAATTGATTCGCTGCACAAGTGGCATTCCCACAGAGCTCGATCTTCTCATCTGATCCATCTCCACAATCATTGTCACTGTCACATTTCCATTGCTCCGGAATGCATCTGTGGTTGTCGCATTGGAATTTCTTAGCGGAACACACTGGCTTCTGTCCCTCTTTGCAGTACTTGACATCTTCATCAGAATAGTCTCCACAATCGTTATCTCCATCGCATCCGTATTGAGCTGGGATGCACTTTTTGGTGTTTCGACACTTGATGGTGTTCTCGGCGCATTCTGTCTCATGGAAACACTTGTCTCCTTTCTCGTCAACTTCATCTGACTCATCCAAACAATCATTCTCCCCGTCGCACTTCCATTCTTTTGGAATACATCTTCCATTCTTGCAAAGGAATTGAGTTGAGTTGTTTGGGCACAAGACCTCGATGCTTTCTGATTTGTCACGTTGGCAGCTGTGATTGTTGTCCGCGTTGATCTTGAATCCTTCACGACACGCGCATTTGGCTTCGAGAGTGTTCGGGTCGGATTCTGAAGGTGTCGCAAAGCAGAGCTGTGTGCATTGGGAGGCACGGCATGGGTGCTCGCGAGAGTCCTCTGGGATCGGTTGGTTTTGGTGAGAGCAGGCTTTGAGTGAGAAGATGGAGCGTTCCTGAAGAGAAGTTTGGTTTTTTATAGCAGTCCGAGACTTAGAGAAAAGCAACTCACATCAGCTCCAAACTCTCGCACAATCTTGCTTCCTCCTCCATTCTTCTTGTGAACTCTTCTGATGGAATAAGGACGTTGGTGAACGTAATAAATGTACTCATTCAGAATAGTAATAGCCACTGGAATTGGGGTGTCGGTATCCAGAGTGTTCACATTTTTTCCATCTAGATCCATACAAGAGATGGTCTTCAGTAGGGTGTCTCCCCAGCAGATGCGGTCCTCTTCAAAGTCAATGGCCATTTCTGATGGGCGTCCGAGGGTGGTATTCCGGATGACTTGACAGTTGGTTCCGTCGATGTGGCATCTGGAAGTGCGTTTAGAAAATTGGACTTTGATTTGTTAGAATCCGAATTTTGAATTTTTTCTCTTTAAGCTATTATCCTTTAACTGTAACGGGCAGGCCGAACTTTCCTAGATGTAGCTACCGTATATGCTCTAATGGAAGCCTGCACTCTGAGATCAATTATCTCGGTTCCTTTAAGGGATATCAAAAATTTGTCAACTGAGAAAATATTGGGGATATTATGATAAATAATTTATCCGTTGACAAAATTTTGATATCTCTCCCAGGAACCGAGGAACAGTGGCTTAAAGTTGACATGTTGGTGACTATCGACTAAAAACTCTAAATTTTGGAAAACCTGAAATTTTCAGAAAAAAACTTTTTGTCAAGTTTAAAATCTCTCAAAAACGTTTTTTATCAAATAACATGTGCTAAAAATAACTATCTTATGCACTCTTTTTCTGCATTTTTATTATTTTTTAAATAAAAATTGCACAGGTGGCTCAATGGGATTTTCGAAATTCCCACTACCAATCTGACGAAAATTACTGATATTGGATTTAAAAAATCAGAATGAAAACTCACTTATAGATAGCAGCTGGTCTCATTGCCTCTGCATAGAACAACAATCCCTTCCATGGATGCACAACCACTGATACTGGATCTCTGAGCTCTGTGAGCAGTTGTCTTCTAACCAACTCATCCGGTTGAACCAATCCAGTTTCTCCAATTTTCACAACCTCCAAACTGTTTCTAATATTGTCTACATAGTACAATTGCTTGCTAATCCAGTCAAAGGACATTGAGAAGAGTCCATCGTTATGAGTGACTAGCACTGGCGCTGATCCTTCTCCATCGGGGCGGATTCTGAATGGTCATTTTGAACAAGGGGGGAGGGTTTTAAATTCAAAATCATACCTATAAATAGTGTTATCCATGATATCAGCATAGAAGAAAGAGTTGCCATGAACATCGCACTCCACTTCAAAATACATTCCGATTCTTCTTTGAGAAATTGGCGAGATTGGAAGAACAGCTTCGGCCAAAGCCTTTTCAGCGATTTCTGGGAAGATACCTCTGACGATCTTGTTGCTGGAGAACAACAAATAATCAATAGAATCAATACATCTCTTTCCATTAACCAGCTTCTGCCCAATAGGACACGCACACTTGTATCCAACACCGAATCCTCCATTATCCTTCGACAGGATACACATTCCTTCGCAATCCGCGTTGGTACATGGATTCTCAATCTTCATGGCGAGACACTCGGATTGTCCGGGTCCGGGTTGAGCCATCGGGTGATACGCGGAGATTCCCATTGGGAAGACGTTGTTCTCAGTGTTGCTCCAGAGAAGTTTAGTGTCGGATCCAAATTTCTCGACTTGAACAACGCCGAGGCGGGTCCAGTCGGTCCAGTAGAGATATTGATCGAAGAGAGCGAGACCGAATGGATGAGGAACTGTGTTCATGCCTTGGGCAACAATTCGACGGTCGTTTCCCTGGAGAAAAAAGTGTTTAGGTGGCGGGAATTCAAAATCGACTAGAAGTTTCTATTGAGACCAGCATGACTTGATGTACCCCACGATCCTTCAGTAAATGCTCTAAGAGGTTCACCATATACCTACAGTTTGAGCTTAATTATCTCATTTTCTGTACAAGACATCAAAAAGTGGTTATATAACAAAATAATCATCATAATATCACCAATATTTTATTGTTGACAGACTTTTTAGGACCGAGATAATAGAGCTCGAAGTAAACGTATAAGGTGGTCATCTATTAGAGAATTTACAACGAGAATACAAATTGACTACTAGATAATAGAACCCTTCTATTGGAACCAGTATCCTAGAATACATCAAAGGTGTTTTAACATAAAAATAGGGCTAGGCTGGGCCAAAAATGGGTTGACTATCCGAACCAGAGCACACTAGACCGTAGCTTTAAAAATCTAGGTTTTGAAACTCTTACTTGATAATCAATAGATTCCAATCGATCAACTTTGGGATCAACCCAGTAGACTCGCTTAGCAGTGATATCGACAACGATTCCGGACACTTGATGGGTGTGAGTGTTGACCAAAGTGCGACGATTCGTTCCATCCATTGCGGCAGCTTCGATTTTCAGCTGATTTGTGAAGAACATTTCTCTGGAATAATATATGTTTAAATTTTGTAATTTTGAGTTGTTTGAAGCTTTTTAAGCTCATCATCTGGGGTTGCTGTCCCCGACAACCCGTAAACTTTGAGCGAGTTTATCTCGGTTCCTGTGAAAGGTATCAAAAAGTGCTCAATTAACAAAATGTTAGCCATGATATCAAAAACATTTTGTTAATTGACCACTTTTTGATATATTTTACAGGAAATGAGATAAATTGTCTCAAAGTTAAGGGCCGGCGCTAGGCGTATGCTGTCGGCCCTGACAGCGCAGGCACGGCTTTTTTACGGTCCGTGGTTTAAAAATCGTTATTTGAATATAGTCAAAACAATTATCAATTTGTAGATCTAGTTGAGTTCTACATTTTCTTTGTTGTTTCGCTCCGAAATTCCAATTTTGAACCGAGTTATGCGCCTTTAAAATACACTAACCCTCTAAGTGGATCCAGAGCAATATCCAATGGAAGAGTGAGTCCATCGGCAAGAAGAACAGTTCTCCGATCTCCATCATATGAGGAGACGTCGATTCTTCTGGATCCAGATTCAATAATATACAAAGTGTTGGTAATCCAGTCAACGGCCAAGCAGCGGGGATAGACAAGAGATTTGAGGCTGAGCTTCCTGAAAAAAAAACCACATAGAGGAGATGGCTTCTGTTGTTGAGCTCACTTAATCTGTGAAATTTCTCCTTCATCATCGACGTCAGCACTAAACGCCGAGTGTGCCAATCGATCAGTCCAGAAGATTTTTCGATCTCCATAATCGAAATCAATTCCATAAATGAACTCTCCAGAAGCCAACTTCTTAACCTCTTCATCTGGATTCTTTGGATTCAATCGATACAGACCCTCTCTTCTCGCCACGAACAATTTCATTTTATCAGCATTATTCGAGATACAGTAACCTCTCATCGTCAGATTATCCTTTCCTGGTCCATGATCCATTTGAAGTGTGAAACAGTCTCCAAGACAAGAGCATGTGAAGCCGGGGCGATGGTTCGCGCATAGCTGGTCACAGTAGCCAAACTCAGCACACTCATTGATATCGGAACAAGTGCGATGGAAACGGTCGTCGAGTTTGTATCCAGATGGACAGGTGCATTCTCCTCCGTGAGGGGATGGATGACATCCGGCTTGGCAACCGAGGGATGGGCAGAGATTTTGGGCTGGAATTTTAGAATTTTTTTGAGGCATAAATAGCGGAATTATGATCTTATGTAGAGATAGTATAACGCTTCGAGCCTGTAGTAGAAAGCTCAACTACAAAAAAATGGGGGTCTATTTTCATTCAATTACTTCAAAAAGTTTGAGCCATTAAATTCTAGACCACGAATAGAAAACTCACAACATTGTTGCTCATCAGCTCCATCTGCACAATCCTTTGATCCATCGCACAGTTTCAATTGCTCAATACAGTGTCCAGTACCCGGACAATTCCATTTTCCAGGTGGACATCTGTATTCTCCACACTCCTCCTCATCAGAATTATCACCACAATCGTCATAGTAGTCACAACGGAACTTTCGCGGTTGACAACGTTTGTTTTTACATTGAAACTCGTTGGCTGTGCACTTTTTGAACTCTGCAAAATATGCGCTCTATTGAGAACTTTTTTAAAAGGATGGATTATCTCGGCTCCTGTGAAAGATATCAAAAAGTGGTTAACTGACAAAATGTTTATCATATTATCATAAATATTTTGTTAGTTGACCATTTTTTGATATCTCTCATAGGAAATGATAAAAATTGGGTTGAAAATTCTTACCACACGTCTCTGGCTCATCGGATCCATCTGCACAATCCTTGGAGCCATCGCAAACCCAAGACTTTTGAATGCATTGCGTCTTGTCAGCACAACGGAATTGATATTGGAAGCAGGCGGTGTGATTACGAGAGCACGAGTCCTGTGGAAGAGAAAATTTAGTTCGGCCGAAGTTTTTCAAGATCTAGGCGACCCTCCACGCCTCGCTCTTTGAGCTTGATTATCTTGGCTCTTTTAAGAGATATCAAAAAATTGTCAACTGATAAAATGTTGGTGATATTATGCCAAATATTTAATCAGTTGACAATTTTTTATATCTCTTACTAGGGAAGGTTGTTTGTGGGGTATGGGACTTCGTTATGAGACCTATATCATTCGAAAGCTGAAAATGAGACATTTTCAAAAGAACTTGGACAAACAAAAGCTGTGTGAAAGTGTTTAGTGTTGATTAACGAAATAGTCAAAAACTAGATATTACTTAAAACATTTAAGAAAGTACAATTTTTCAGTATCAAAATGAAATTTTTTTGAAAAATGCGTTCGGAACATTTTGAAGATTTCCACAAAGACCGAGAACAAAAACCAAAAAAACAAAGGAGAGAGAAATCGACCCCCACCCT